AATCTTATTATAAAAGCACTAAACAGAATAGAACGACGAATAGACAGAATAACAAACAATCATCTTCGAATAGATACAGAAAACTCAAGTAATAGGAGAATGTTAACATATTGAGTTATACCTTAAAGATAGATGATAAATTTACTTAATTTTGAAGCTACATGTAAATTGTATTATCAACCCTAACAAGCTAAGAAATCTAACATTTAAACAATGAACTCCTATATTCAATTTGAATGATTGAATAATATTACTAGGCGTTCAAATTTGGGAATAGCTCTAAGTCAAATAGATGAATTTGTACCTATTAAGAAAATGAGTCGAAATTAGATCTCTTAACAACGAAATTATTATATGTTCATTACTAACAAGCTTCTAAATAATATTTTAGACACTTATTTAAACAAGTGAGTGGAAAAAAAGGAGTTTTACAGTGTTATTAATTAGTCAGTTATCATGGATAGTTAAAATGTATCATAATGTAACTGACTTCCAATATGTAGTTCAATAGATTCGAATTATGTGTTTCCTTTGAAGATTGTTAAGGCGAGATATCCGTCTATCAATAAAAGTACGAGTATACTGTCTGGCGGTCCGTTCTGTTTTAATTTACGTCAACGAAACATGGACATTAAGAGTAGAAGACACTTGTAAGCTATCAGTATTTGACCACAGATGCCTTAGAAATATTAGTGACGTCTGCTGGGATCACCGGGTAAGTAATAGTGAAGACAAAGGCAGGGTATTTGAGAATGATGGTAGATCAGTTGATGAGGTTGTGAATCTTCATCGACTGAGATAGTTGGGTCACGTGTTACGTATGCCCGAACACCGATTACCACGACGTGCAATGCTAACCGGTGTTAGAGATGGTTGTCAGAAAGTTAGTGGTGGCCAAACCAAAACGTGCCATCAGTTTCTGAAGTCACTAAATTCTAGTCTGAGCAGACTACCTGGTTGGGGTCCGCGTGACTATGGGTGGGTGACATGGCTCAGAATCGATCACAATGGCATAGGTGTATACACTCTCTGTCTTTCCTTAAACTATGATATTAAAATCGCTTTCTATCTTCCTTTCTATGAACTAATTCTTTCTTCTCGTACTATATCCTTATATGCAATCATTCTCTTATATATCACCACCTCTGAATTAACTACATTTATGAATCGGGTTTCCATTTTGTTGTGTTAATGAGGTATGGCAATTTGGACCGATGCATATATGTGCCTGGTCCTACGTTGTAGCTGACTGACTGACTGATGAACATTGTTAATAAATCAATCAAATATCTGTCCACTTATCCACTTATAAATTACTTTGCATAATTTTATTTAGTTTTTTTTTATCATCCACTTGTGTATCGTTTAACTGTCAGTGTCTACTGTTGATAAGCTTCAACGAACATTGATCGTAAAATACTAGTTCCTTTTCTATTCTTTTCAGTCACTTACAATTAATATAGTTTTAAAACAGTTTACAACCTCCCTATATTTATGCATCATACACCTTAGAATAATAATGTCATATAACCATTACATAAAATCTATTCAATTTATGAATATCATTATGAAAAACAAACGAACAAAGAAACAACAACTTGTTTTTCCCTAACACTTCCATAGAAGACAGATTTGATTCTGGATATATATATATATTCTAATTATTGTTACATTCTGACAGAAATTTAGACGACAGCTTTTTGTTTTGTTTTTAACAACTGATATTGACTCACAAATGATAACACCATGGTGAGCGTATTATTATTATCAATGCAAAGTGGGAGGTATTTAAACGAAGTTAATCCTTTCATTGATTTGATTTATAGCACAAGTTTAATTTATGAAAATAAAAAGCTACTGGTTAATCTTTTAGAATTACATAACAAATGTTAATGTTCAAAAACGAAGAATATTTGAGCGAACAATTGTTTTCAATAACTTCATCATCAGGCTCTACAGTTATAAGTCCATAATTATAACATTTTACAATGTTGTTGAATTGTTATAGACCAGTGGTTTAAAGTTTAAGAATCTATAATACAAATTAAACGAGTCAGCTTTGATATTCTGTTCAGTGTGGTGAAGTTTCATTAAAGGATGAAATAGTTATTCAATAGTTGTTTCATTAAAAGTCAATCTTTATGATGAAATTTATTTAAATCGAATTTTAGTTACCGAGTGAATGATTCAGTGTGAAATGTGATCAGATCACTACAACTGTAGTTAAATGAGTTCACAAAGAGAACTTATCCTATTTATAATCATATAAATTTCATTTTTCACTAATTTTATTTTTGTATTGTTTGTTGGTATCTTGTCATTGATGTTTAGAACTGTAGTTGATCAGTCATTTATTGAATATCTGGATACTGCCTTAACTCACAATTATTATAAGCAGAGATGGATCAGTAAATCTAGTTGACAAATTCTAACTAATTATCAGAATGTGTTTTGTGGAGATTTTTAGAAATTTTCACAGATTGAACTCATGAGTCAGTTGAAGCTAGACCACCATTGAAAACCTGGAAGCACTGGACGGCCGTTTCGTCCTAGTATGGGACTCCTCAGCAGTGCGCATCCATGACCCCGCACCACCCGGGGCTCGAACCCAGGACCTACTGGCTTCGCGCGCGAGCACTTAACCATTAGACCACTGAGCCGGCATCCAACGGTGTTAATGTCTAACTTCAACCAATCCACGAAGTTGCGCTACCGTACACCATTGTCTTCAGTGAGTTCCTATCTCACAACAGACCTGGTTGACATTAACACCGTTGGATGCCGGCTCAGTGGTCTAATGGCTAAGTGCTCGCGCGCGAAGCCAGTAGGTCCTGGGTTCGAGCCCCGGGTGGTGCGGGGTCGTGGATGTGCACTGCTGAGGAGTCCCATACTAGGACGAAACGGCCGTCCAGTGCTTCCAGGTTTTCAATGGTGGTCTAGCTTCAACTGACTCATGAGTTCAATCTGTGAAAATTCTAACTAACACAAAATACGCATCCAGAATTCCATCACTAGTCACCATCTATCTCTGCTTATCATGCTTATTTTTCACTGTTATTTTGTTGACATCTTTTCAGCTTTTCAACTAGATATATTTTCTAATCACTATCTGATCATTTCAGTTCTTTTATATCTAGCAAAATAAAGTTGTACTTTAACATAGATACACAACTATAAACCTAATAGAATTATCTTTTTATTTAATTAAATTTGCTTATTGTATATACCATAAATGAAAGTAGGCCAATAATGATGGCAACAGATATGAATAAATAATCATTTGTTACATGAGAAAAAAAAACAATATTTTTTGTACAACAACAAAAACGACGACAACAACAACAACAACAACGACACCTGTAAAGGCTCAGAAGAAATTGTGTTTAAAATGTTACTTTTTTTTCTTTTATATACAATCTATTCTAAAATTGTATCATGAATTAAGATTTTAAAAAATAAACAAACAAACTTAATGAGACAGACGTAAACGAGGTAAAAAAAAGGAAAAGAATAGTGGTAAACATAAATAAACAATCGACCATTACGTTTGATAGATTCTACATGAAATATAATCATATTTGGATTGATATTATAATTTTAATACTTTCAATAATACATGCTCACTTTCGTTTGTTCAATGTTCAATAATGAACATGTTATGAATATATGTTTGTTTAGTTATGGCGTCTATGTGGTTGCGTGTCATTTTCTTGGGTTTATTCACGGATAGAATATAAAATAGACTAAATTATATTAAATCACGCTTCATATAATAATCATAATGGTAATAATAGTACTAAACTAACTGTAGTAAAAATGTTTATTAGGGACAAAGAGAAAAATAAACGAAACATGGAATTAAAAAGAAAACTGTATTTAAGTGAATATGTCTCAGTGAGAAAGTTTGTACCACGAATTGATATCAACTAGTAGAGACATATTAAAACTATTCAGTACTGTGCATTTACAAGTGAAACAAATAGTTGAATTCATGAGTCAATTAAAGCTAGATTACTATGAAAGCACTGAACAGCTGTTTCGTCCTAATATGAGACTTGCGAGATTCGAAACCAGGACATATCGGTTTCGCGCTCGTGTTCACTCAGTTTAATTAAAATTTACGACACAAACTTTAGAATTTCAACTTAATGGTATGAAGATAACATAACTATTATGTGACATGAAAGTTTTATGTTTTGGACCGTTGATTTAAGACTATGATTGCACATTACTATGAGTAGTTATAATTTTAATGAAATTAATTACAAGATGGTGGAGAAGACTTGTAGCTCAGATAGATGATTTTGATGGAGAGAACAAAACTTCATCGAAATTAATTTCATTATTTTCACTTATTCTCTAGATGATATTGTTGGAAACGTTAGATCCTCAAAACTCATATTTTGTAATTTTATCTTTGTGGAGCTTGTATGCAGATGTATACTTGGGCATTTCTTACCATTCACGCACATAGTCGATTGACGAACTTATTGATTAAATGTTTAAAATCTTCCATGGCAATATCGATTATAAATATTTGTATAAATACGCTTGATTTGTGTGTCTGATTGACTTGGTATCTGCTGGTCGCCTGTAGAATACACTTCTACGTTTTACCAAGACTTCTTGATCGAGTTAGCTGAGCCGAAGACAACGGACCAGAATAGCCTATCGAGTCTCTGAATCCTTGATTGTTCGTTCCATTCCGAGTAAGACGAATCAGTAGTAGCATTCAAGTTTAACGAACATAACAGATATCTATTATACTTGTAGAACTCATAAGTGAATTCTACTTGGTACTGAAACTTCGAATCTGACAACACATGGTAAGAACACAAAAACTGTGAATATGGATTTATTTGAACCTGGAAATAAATCATATTGACTTATATGATATATTCACAGTTAGATTTGTACAAAACTGAACTGAGTAATGGGCAGTATCAATTTACCAATGAAAACATATGACAATGGAAATATACTTCAATTGGATTACTTACCTTATCATCATTGGTTAGTTCTGTGTCAAGAATGAAATGACCTAAAACAAAAATTAAATAAATCAACAAAAATAAATTATTATCGTAAAGGGGTTTTGTAGAGATTGTGGTAAATTTAATAATTGAATTGATCAGTCGATTAAAGCTAGACCACCGTGGAAAAAGCTGGAAGCACTAGATGACCGTTTTGTCCTAGGATGAGACTTGTCAATAATGCGTATCTATGATCTCACTCACGAGAGTCATTCCCAGAACTTTCGATCTCGCACGCGAACGTTTAACCCCTAAACTAGTGAGTCATCATAATACTTCAAAGAATAAAAGTAATTATTACTTAATAAACATTTTTCTGATAAATTTTATATAAGGGATTACTATGACTAAATAAAATCATTCTTACCATTGTTAAGAATCTTAAATGTTTCTCTTTTAGGTTGTCACATTTTAAAGACAATATAATGCTTGAATTACCAATGAAAGTGTGCGCTGTGTTAAGTTTATTTAAATAAACACTTTAAGTTAAATAGTGATTTATGAACGCTAATCTAGATTAGTGTACATACTTCCTTACATTTAAACATCTCCCATACTGTTTATCTAAATGACCATGAATTAATGAAACTATGGAGATTTCTGTATTCGAAAGTCTATTTACTTAGCTTACCTTCATTGTTGTACGGACATCACAAATTAGTCATTATAAGATAAAATTAGCATTCGGTACCGAGATATATAGTGTCTGTGAAATACTTAATTGATTCAATACTTGTTACTGGAAATCATGAATTAGACTAAGCAAGTAACAACTCTAAAATATCAGATAAGGGTTCATTTAATACCTAAAATAGAACAACATAATGTCCGACTACAGTAGTTTTTCAATGATTTGTATTAGTTAACATTAGCCGATAAACTATTCACTAAATTTACAATAACTGACTATGATTGACAGTCATACTAATGTGGTTACTCTTTAACATGTGATTACTTATTATAGAGGATTGAAGAAAGGAATCACAATTGCATGTCAATCGCACTTAAATCAGTTTAGTCCTCTTTAACTATATCATTATAGACTATCAGAAATATATACGATATAACTATTCAAAATACAAGTTGAAACAAACGGAATCTATTATCCTAAAGGTTTATTAACCGCTTGTTTCGTCAAAAAATCAATGGAAAATAAGGTTTATATATATAGGAAATTGATTTTGAAATGTGCTGCCTAAAATTATTTAGTCATAAAAGACAAACACAGTTTGATGATACACTGAATGAAAACCAATTCTATACCTACTGTAGACACACTATACACAACTACTAGAGTGAAGTTTAGTAAACCTAATAAATTAACCCATTCAGTTGTTATAACCAATTATCAAATCATAAATTAACTTTACGGTCAATCAGCTATCGAAATCAATATTGATTTATTCTTCAAAGTTACCATAGTCTGTAAAATATGTAGTTCGACAGTGTACATGTTGAATTGCATTTCACAGTATATTATTACAGTACGGTTGGATAAACATCTTAATCATTGGATATTTGATATTGATTACCCCATATCAATCGAAAGGAAACAGACCTTTTAAAGTAAATAATGCTCTGGGGGTCATTGAGCTTAGATATTAAGTATGAACATCAAAGTTGACGTTTTCCTTAGCATTTATGCGCGGTTAAATAAACATAAATTCAAACAGAATATCTATTACTTAATTAATAAAATGTTTGGCCATATATTAGTTGATATCTTAAACTGTCTAAGATTATATAAAATACAGTATCAACGAACTGTATTAATGTTTTTTTTTTAAATTTTAGTTTGTCAGAAACACTCAGAAATGTTCTTTTCAATAATTATTATCTAACCATAACGTACTAACATAAAACTTTCTTCTATGTTCCTATTTATAATCGGTTAATAAGTGATCATGGTATAGTTCTAAAATCTTTAAATAAATAATTAAAAAAATTAAATTCACTTGGTATTGTTTAATTGAAACTTCCTTTACGACGTTTAGGACTGAAATCAATCGGTCTCTTATTAACATATATGCATTCTGTGCAGATTGTCTCGATACTGCCTTAAGTCATAAGCGTTATGAACAAAAATCAGTGGTGGCTAACAGTGGAATACAGTCCTAAACATCAATGAGAAGATTCAAACAAACCATACAAAATGAATTTAAACTTCACTGCATTGCACAAGCAAGTGCCTATCAAGACTCAATATCTATATGGATAACGTAATGGTGTTTGAAGAGAGCGGTACTGCGTTCGGGTCCCAGAATAAACATCAACTCTAAGATATAAGTACATCCGGCTGACAGGTTCAAAATAGGACAAAACACGCATCCTGGTTTCCACTGTTAGCCACTATCCATCTTTATATATAAAAATTGCTGTATATATTATTAGACGATAAATCTCAGGGAGTTAAATTCTAACAAGACCAAAAAACAGAACAAATCAAACTGTTCACTAAATACATTTCATATCTCCATATTCATTATTTTTAAACAAACATCTGGACACTAAATAAATATTCGTAACAGCTTTCAATTACTATAACATTAAAGCAAATCATTTTGCCAAATTTTTTTTTAAAAAAAACAACAATAATATAAATGGTACATAAGATTAATTATTTTATATATAGAAATAATCAAACAAATGGTAACTAATAAAAAATCAATTAAATGAAAGATACCATGGCAACAAATTTTCATTAAAACAATAAAAAAATACAAAAAAAAATGAAACTATCCATCTTATTCCGATTACATAACTGACGCCAAAATAAGATTTGCTTTATTTGTTCAAATATTACAAATAGTGTGAATTTAAGAATTTCCCTTAATTATACAATTACCTTTATATAAAAAATTAAAAAATTAATTCTATTATTATGTAATCATGGAATGATCATATTGTAATTACCCATTTGTTCCATATTGAAATAAATAGGAATCCAAGAGTAAGTCATGATTGTTTCTTTTTTTCTCTTCTTATCACATTTCTTTTTTTTGTATTTTCTGTTACCAAGACATTTCTATTGTATTATAAGTGAATTTTAACAAAGAAAGTGTAACTAATATAGATACAACGACAACAACTACTACTACTAATAATAATAATATGACGTAACACGTATGTAAATGTGAATAATCAGCTGATTAGAAGTCTGAGAGAGATATTACAATAAAACAGTCTAATTTTATAATTAGCAGAGGATAATTATTCTGGTATGTTTCCACTTTGAATGGTAATTAGAATTAAAGTAAAGAATAGTAAGTATAAGAGTTGTTGAGGTATTATTGGATAGTTAGATTTTAACAGATGATATTCTAGCTCTTCTTATTCTATACAAGTCAAGATAATCAGTGTAGCAGAAACCTCTTCAGCATTAGGCCTCAACATACAGAAAAGAAAAAGCAAGATCCCCAAGTACAACACGAAGAACACTAACCCAATCACACTTGATGGAGAAACTCTGGAAGAGATGGAAACTTCTACGTACCTGGACAGCAACATCGATAAATAAGGAACATCCGATGCAGATGTAAAGGCAACGATTAGCAATGCAAGGGCAACAATCCTACGGTTAAAGAGTATATAGAACTCAAAACAACTGTCAATCGATATTAAAGTCAGAATCTTCAATAAGAACGTCAAGACAGTTCTACCGTATGGCACTGAAACGTGGAGCACTACCACAACCATCATTACAATGTAGAAGTATTTGTAAACAATTGTCTATGTAAGATATTGAATGTTCGTTGATCGAATACCACCAGCAATAGTGTACCATGTGAGAGAACAAACTAGTTTCCAACCGAAGAGACAATTAGAGAAAGATGTTGGAAGTGGAAAGGATATACTTAGAGGAAATTTTCAAAAAGCATCATGAAGCGAGCGCTGATTGGGAATCCTGAAACAAAAAGGAAAAGAGGAAGGCCGAATAACACACTAAGTCGAGATCTGGAAGTAGACACCAAAAGAATGGATAGCAATTAGAAACAATTGTAAAGGACTGATCAGGACAGAGTATTCGATGACGAATACTGGTGGGTGGTCTATTCTCTTCCATGAAGGATAACAAGTGTAAGTAAGTAAGTAAATTATCAAGTTCAACCATGACACTGATATATATACTTTCATAATTATGAAAATTTATTGTTATGAAATATGAGCTAATTTAGTTAGTAAAAATGACCGAAACGTTATATAAGTTGAAAGTTAAGATAAATATAAAAAGAGCATTTGAGAAATGAATTTGAAAATGTTTATGTAAAAAATAATTACTACATATTTCATGTTCTTGACCATACTGAAATTTAGTTCCAGGCATTTAAGAACTTGACTAAAATTAATGCTCTTAATGTAACTCGAGTGAACAATCAAGTTTGAGCATGAGGTTAGTAACATTAGTAACGTTAGTAGCTTTAACGTAATCATACTGTAAAAACACTGAATTAAACCTTGAAGCCATGAAATCATTCTCATGTTTCAAGCGTGATTGTAATCTGATTTCATTGCATGGAAACATACTAAATATATATGTTTTATTGTCACAAAATGAATTCTACATAAAGTTTAATAACACTGATCAATAATCTAGTTTAAAACTCAATCAAAGTACATATGAAAAATATCCCACGAAACTCATTCTTGAATCATTAGGTCTCAAACCAAACAAAACATCATCATAACACTTTGGCAAAACTTAAACTGTGTAACAGTTTAAATGAAGTAAAATTTTAATTACACACGGTTTTTAAACGATATGGTTATACACTTGACCTACTTAACTAAACTGATGACACTGCATCATAGAATCAAGACTATATGCTCTGTGGATACGATTGAAGATGAAACAGAGTCATTATACGTAACCCTGAAGGAAAATGGATATCCTGAGAAATTTATAAATAGAAACATAGTTAATAAAAGACGGCATAGAGAATACTCAACTGCAAATAAAAAGCCTCTGTATGTACGCTTACAATTCAGAGGCGATGAACCGAGTGAAATG